CCTCCCCGTGTACCTGTCCTCACTTGCATCCTTTCCCTTTTTGTTTGACTTTGTCCAAGAGCTCCCTTCTGCTTACTTTCACAGATAGCAACGCTACTGATGGCAAAACATCAGCGCAACACCACATACTTGTGTTGCCAATCCAAAGTTTGACCAGCCTGACTAAAACATTTAAGTCAAAATGTGAATATTAATTGTGTGATCAGCATTGGAACCTCTCCAGAAATTGCATTTGCTGCTACACAGAACAACAAAAGGCAATGTGAACTTCACACGCATTTTTTCAGGATGTAAAACTTCTAGAACCAGTTTAAATTGTATCAGACAAGTGATTTACGCTGCTGAGGTCCAGGAAATCCCCAAAGAGGTACATTCCAACCAGTTATTCCCCATGCTGCAGATCAAGTTCCTTGAGAATAAATGCACAAGTTCCTTGAGAATAAATACACAAAGCCAAAATGAAGTACCTATAGCTCTTATAAGCTGATTATAATGAAAACCCAGAAATACTATTTATATTGAGTTAACTTATATAATAGTCTGCTGTTTTAGGTAAGTGCTTCATTCTGAATAATAACTTCAGTGCTGCAATAATAATAATAATAATAATAATAACTGCAAACAAAACTATTTATACTCACCCTTTCTTTGCATAGAAACATACACACACACACACGTTTTATGTATGTGGACATGTAACTATGTATAAATGCATGCACACATATGCAGAGGTACATACATATAACCTACAAACACAAAGGTACATATGTAAGGAAAAAATACTCATTCTCTTCAGACAGTGTATGGCACACCGATTTAGTTAAAGACAAGATCATTGAATACTACCTACTTTAACTTCAGGACGCTCAGTTTTACTACCACTCTAAAACCATTAAACAAGTGAAGAAGTATCAATAACATAGCTGCAGAAAGAAAATACGTATTTTCTTTAACTACGAGAAACCTCCGACGAGGTCAGAGAAAACATCTGGAAAGATGAGCTGAAAAAGGCACCTTGATCTCACTGTCAGGAGACTTTCAGGAGCTCACTGCAGAAAAGCAAACCTAAGAACAAGAGGTTTCAGTATCAATAAATCGACTGAGGGAGCTAGGAGCAGCGGGAACATTCGTCACCAGAGAGATGTTCAGCACCACAGCATCACTTCTGGCAATTACGTATTTTTTCTCATAATCCACAAACCAGCAGCACCGGCCCACGGGAACAGCTGCAGCAATTTTCGGCACGGCTGGCAGCCACTTCCCTACTGCTCTTTCCCGCAGCCTAGCCCCACCCAACCCATGGCGCCGGCAGCGCGGCC